ACATATTTAATTAATAATAAATATTCGCATAACATTATTTGTCGCAGCTGCTGACAGCTAAGCTAGCTGCTATTTCAATTAATTATTTATTAAATGATTGATTTTTATTATTATTTATGTATTTTGTTTTGTGTATTTATAGAACTGTAAATAGCAATAATGGGAAGTCTAAACGGTGATGTAATGGTTATGCGCAATGGACGCTCCACCAGTCAAGTATCGGTATATAATTATCCAGAACATTTAAATCCCTTCTATGAAGATGATCAGCACAAACGTTTGAGATTCTGGAAGATAAGCAAAAAAGATAATGAGGGACGTAGAAATAGTTTCTCAATTGGAAATCTTAAGGATATGTGGTAAGTGGAGGAATGAGTAATTTATTAGTTATAAAATTATATCATTGGAAACACTATAAGGTTTCTTATAAAAATTGAATTTTAATCTTAAAATTTTAATATGTTTTTTATTTGTTTTTTTTCTTCTGAAGGGCTTTCAAATCATTTCGCATGAAAAAGAAATCTTCCACACTGGGTATTAATAAAACATCAGAAAGTCCGCCAACACTGCGACGAGATTATGTTGTCGACAATGGCTGGAATACATTTGATCATCGTTTACGTGGCAGCAATACATCATCCATAAATGGTGACAGCTTTCAACGTAATGCAACCTACAGAAGTTCTTTGCAAACATTGCCAACGAGTAATGTAAGTATTAACTCCATATTCTTTTTATTAAACATTATGTTTTAATTATTTAGTTTCAAAACCTACAGACTATTTATAAATAGATTTTGAACATCAATTTTATGTAAATTTTATTGAATTAACTATAGACTAGAAGAACTAACATTTATGTTCAAAATCGTTTATTACAATTGTTAATAAAATTCTTATAAAGAGTGTTTTTAAGCCCGATAGAACTTTCGAAAGGGTCAATTGTCAAACGAAACTTTTGACATTTGGTTAATCACAATTTTGTGCCGGTTCATGCTGAGCAACTTTAGTTACTCAACACTCAATATTTTCGTCCAAAATGTCAAAAGAAACTTAACTTTACTTAATACATATATCTAAACTTTCCCTCATTCTAGGATCGTATTGGCTTAAATCGTAATGATGGCTATCGTAGCACAATACAAGTTACCCGTTCTAATCCCCGCTATCAGCCCCAACAGAAACAACAGCAGTTGCAGCAACAACACAATACAACGGGAGTATCACAAAACAGAAGGTATGTTTATGGTGGGTCAGTGACACCACAACCATTGCGTAATACTCGTACAAATAATATTGGTAGAGGCGAATACGATTGCGATAATGTCATGATTAGGCGGTGAGTCAGTTTGTCCCAATATATCTAATCTTCGATTAGATACAAAATACATTCGTGTTAAAGTTTATTTAAACTTCGTGTATTATAACACTGATGTTTTTCTTCGTTAATTGTACTGGGAAAGTGTTTTTTGCATTTCAAACATTTTTATTTTTGTGTGAAATGAAGGTGTTATCGTTTTATCGGATCTATTATTAATTGTTTTCAGTATATTTGTTATTATTGTAAAATTTCATGCTTGGGAATATTAAATGTTCCATATGTGTTCATGGTGTTGTTATTGTTTTCGTTTACATTTGTATTTGCCATTCGAGGTGAAAAATGTCTTTATTATAACTGTGATATTTGTTTATTATTAGCACCTTTTTGGATTCATAATAATATTTTTATCTGTATTTATACCCTACACCACTTTAGTGGGGAGGGTATATTGGATTTGTGCTGATGTTTGTAACATACAAAAATATTCGTCCTAGACCCACCTTAAAGTATACCAATCGGCTTAGAATCGTTTTCTGAGTCGATTAAGCTATGTCCGTCCGTCCGTCTGGCTGGCTGGCTGGCTGTCCATGTAAAACTTGTGCGCAAGGTACAGGTCGCAATTTTCAAGATAATTGGATGAAATTTGGCACGCACGTTTTATTTGATCCAAGGACGAAGCCTATTGAAAATGGTTAAAATCGGTCCATTATTTCACCTAGCCCCCATAGAACAGAACCCCCCGAAAAGGGCTTCTGAGCTCATAATTATGTTAAATATACAGATATATCGATAAAATACGGCACAACTAAGTTTTATAGAAGTCTTGATGACCCTGCCAAATTTCATAAAGATCAGGCCCCATTTGACCCTAGCTCCCATACAAAGTCCCCTTCAGAAAATTACTTGAATGTCCCAAATTAGCTTATAAACACAAATATCGCGATGAAATTCAGCACAATAAATGTAAATATAAATATATTCACAAAATTTTATCGGGCTTGGTCCATATTTGCCCCTAGCCCCCATATAAAGCCTCTTTCAGAAAATTAGTTTTTCATCCATAAATTGCTTAAATGTATCGGAACAAGGGAATATTGAAGATAAATGGTTTATTATGAAAAATAAATTACATTTAATATTCATAACTGGTGTAGGGTATCATATGGTCGGCCACGCCCGACTATACTTTCTTACTTGTTTTTCAAGTTGTTACGTTCATTGGTATTTTCATTATAAGTTTTTGGGAATGTATCTTAAGTGATGTACATCGGGTTTCATGTAGACTACGCAAATGCACGTAAAAAGTACTCCCAGTAGGACTAGGAATGGTCCTAAACTAATTCAAATATATGAACAGTTCATTTAACGTTACGATGTCCTATGAACTGCAGGCCATAGACCATGTTGTTGGAAAAAATTAACACGATCCCTGCCTGTATTACATAGGACTACTAAACGGGTTTTGTACTCTAATAATGTTTGCAGGGAAGTAGTTTTGGTATTACCAAAATGTATCACGTACTTCAATAACTTTTGCCGGAATTGTCTTTTAAATTATTATGACTGGCTTTGCAATAGCTTATTCGGTAGACCAATATTTGAAGATTTGTTTCTATCTCACGACTAGTAAGGACAATATTAGGCTTAAGGGTGAGGTTCGTTTCTGAATGAGTCATATACATATAACCGATTTTTAACTACAGCCAAATTGGGTCCAATCACAACTTCGAGACGGTCAATTAACATTATTCAAGTTTATATCATGCCTTTACATCGGTAATCAAAGCATGTCAGCTCTTGAGTTGTTGAGATCCATGAGTGAAGATCACAACTCTGAGGGATTTTAATTCAGAGATTATTACCATGTCTCTTGTGCGCCCTCTTTCAAAAGCCGCATATCCTTCTCTATGTTCTTTATACTGGCGCTTAACAAGTGTTACTATATATTCATCTTTAAGAATAGCATTCTCTCATCATTGTTTAAAAAGAGACTTGATAGAGATGGATGATTTCTATACTTCCGTTTGATCAGAAAAGGCTTTAGCACTTTTAAGAAAGTTTAGGTTTCTTAAAACCTCTTCCAGTGAAATTGATACACTTTAACCATTTGGCGTCGGCCAGATCTTACTCTAAATAACTGTTAAATCGTGCCAGATCAAGTATAGTCGGAAGGACTTTGTTTAGACAGAATCACTGCTAAAACGGTGTATTATTAGGACCAAACTTGAGAAATCTCATTCCTAAGTCTAGACCAAGGTAACTCGCTAAGGTTTCTTGGGCATTCATAGAGAAGATGGAAGACAGTTCCTTCTATTTATCTGTCATTGCAACTGAGACGATATCCATTAAATGGGAGCACAAAAGAAGCTTGTTTACCTAACACCCAATATCCAGTGTTCAGGTTGTTTGACTTCTGTTTTCAGAAAGGATCTAATGGTACCACTTTTAATAAAACCCAGTAGAATTCCGACTGATACCGCGTTAGAAATATTCAAGAAGATATACCACTGCAGTAGTTGTCTCTAATTGCACTGGGACTTAAACTAAGGTAATATAAGATCGACGACCCAGTATTGGCAAATCATTCCAACATTGTCCGACCAACAAGGATTTAGTAGTATAAAAATTTAATAAACGAAGCGCTGCGCGCTTATTCGAAGTTCTTCACAAAAGACAACAGGACCAATGACGCAGTTCAATTTGGAAACAACTGTATAAATCGTGGTATCATATTGATTCAGTAGTATGTTATCGAACTTCTAGAAGTAGCGCTGACTTACGACTGGGGTAACTTACTTAAGATCCTAGCGTGTCCTAGATATAGACAATTTTCCCCAAGATCAATTTACATCACTTAGGTTAACTTCCCACAATTTTAGCGCATTTGGTACTAGCAACAACGTTTTTAAAAAAATTTTACATACAAATTTATATGTTCAACAATAAGTTTTCCCAATTATAGTTATATTGCTAATTATACATATGTATATAGTATTATAATCTCTATTATTTTCTCTCTCTCTCTCTCTCTCCCTTCATTCCCTCAAAACCAATCCACTATTAATAAATCAAATTATTACTATTAGATCATCACAATCCAGTATGGTTAGCACAAATCCATTTGAATCCGATGATGATGAAAATGAAGACATCAATTCGTCTTGCATGAGAAGTGTTAATGGTGGTTCTACAACAACTCTAACATCGCGAACACCACGCAAAAAACGTCGAGCACCAGCGCCACCAACACCAGTAAGTATATCCAGTAATTAATTTATTTGTTATTTAATTCAGTTTAATATTTCTCTACAGTATAATAATTGTATGTACGAGTATATTTTGTGCAAACATTAAATACTAACGTATTATACAATAATTAAATTAATTATTAAGTTGGTTGGCAATGTCTGAATTTTAGTTTATAAACATTGTCGTATTTAGTCAGTTAGTGGTGTGAGTATTTACTTAACGATAAATATTTGTTTCGATAAGATATCTTGTTCTCGTTATTTTTGCTTTTTCTCCATTTTCCGCCATGAAATTATGGGGAATTAAATAGGTTTTATAAAAAAGCATAAACAAAATTAGTTTCCAAAAAGATAAAAAGGAGTTCTAAATAGATGGCTGTTGAATTTTAGATATTTTAATTGTTTCTACTCCTAATGAAACTTTCTTTTAATCATTTCAGACTCACGGTCGCAGTAACGGAGCACCACCTCCAACAATTCTTATAGAATCTAGTCACGATAATACCCAAGATGAGTTACGTATTAGAGAGGACATAGATATTGCCAATTTGACAGCTGAAATAGAAAGTTTTGTTAAAACTAAAGACAACGATGATGTCGAAGTCGCGCCGAAGGATGAAGTTCAAACGGTAACAACGACAAGCACAACGGAAACAGAAACTTCCACAAATAATGTGGAAAAACTTAAAGTGGAAGAAGAGCAGGAAATAAAGCCAGCTGCAAAAGAAACTTCCCAAACTACCACCTCCACTACAGTTGTTAGTGATATTCCAACGAAAGAGAACGTAATAACGGCAACTAAAACAAATGGTCAAGTTACCACTGAAATCGTAACAGTGACAACAACCACAAAAACTACAACAACTGATGTCAATAAACTTTTGGAAAAAGAAACCAAGGTGGCTCAAGTTTCAAATGAAACGGTAATAAAAACTGATGATAGTAAAGAAATCAAATCAAATGGAGCGATACCAAAGAAATCAAACAATATGACAGTGGTCAGTTCATCAGTTGAACAACAACAGCCACAAACTGCTGAAGTTGTCACAGATTTGTGCATAAAAGAAACAAATTCGCAAGAAGTGTCACAGAAACCTGTACCACTTAAACGTCATACGAAACCTGAAGCAGAGGCGGAAGTTGGTCATGTTGAGTGCATACATGTGCATGTAGAAAGTCCCAGAGCCACACCACGCAAGGAACATCCTAGTGGTGTTTCCAGCTTTAAAACAAATGAAAATGTTGAAGTTAATGAAACCATAACCACTAAAACTCCATTTGTACTAACCAGCCCTCCAACACAAAGACGTAAACCCCCACAAACAGAGAGTGAACCTGTTATAAAGGAAACGGTTAAAATTGTAGGAACAAGCTCCGCAAACGAACGAACTAACCACGAGTTGACTATTAAAGAAGAACGCATTAATGCCAAACCGGAAATTTTGGTCAAGCCCACTTTGTCACCCAAACCAGTCACAAAAGATGTAAATGGAAAAGTACATGGTTTTGCCGAAATACACAAACCCGCTAGAAAATTTACAAATAACCAAAATGGTCATGTACGAAGAGCTTCTCGTGATGAGAGCGTAACACCACCTACTGTACCCCAAGAGAAAAACCACACCCAAGAGGAGAAGAAAATTAACAATTCAGTTCCATCACATATTAGCATCAAGACTAATGGAGAGAAGGCGGAAGAAGTTAAAGTACCAGAAGTTAAAAAGGTTGAAACTTTGAAAATCGTAGAAACTACAACCTCTAGTACTACTAATGGTGAAACTAAATCTATGGAAAAAGAAGAAACAAAAGAGTTGAAAAAGGTTAATTTCGAAACCTCTATTAACAACACTAATACAGTTACGACCCCTGAGTTGCAAAGGCAAACAGATGAGTTTGATTTGTTATATAGACCTAAACCTGCCAATCATATGGAATGGAAACGTTCCACACTGGCTCCCTTGGAAACCAACATACCACCCGAAAAACGAAAGTCTGTCAAAGATATTATAGAGTCCATTAATCGTAGTCAGCGTTTACTAAATGCGGCAGCTAATAAAGATTTCACAGCTTTACAAACTCAAAACACAATTACCCCCAATAACAACACCTCTGGCCCACAGTCGATAACCACACAACAGACTTCCGAAAACAAACATAACGGAAATCTAAGTGAAAACCTTAAAATATTAGATGAGATACAAAAAGAAATTGAAGAGATGATACCATCTGCCACTGAAGGAGCAGCCGCCAATTCTCCCTCACCATCGCCATCGAATTGCAACAACGAATATTCCGAAGCTCAAAAACTAGATAATAATGATATATTTCAAAAGTGTAAGGTAAAAAAAGAGGTCTACGATTATCGGGAATCATCGCCCATATCATCAAATTTAGATTGGAATCCAGTGCCAAAACCAAAACGTACTAAGCCCGGCCATGAATGAAAACAAGCTCAAAGCTAAAAAACGAAATTAAGTATTGTCCTTTAAGTTAAAAAACAATACATTAAAATATAAGTGTTATTTACCAAATACAGATATCTATAAGATCACATCTTGTATATTTTTTATCAAAAATCAAAATATAAAAACGGGGTTTGTTTGCAATACTACCTTAACTAATAGTGAATATTAATATATTTTTAAATAATCCTTATATTAAAAAATATATATATCATTTCAATGTCCTTATTTAGTGTGATCAATATAAATATATTTTAATAATATACTATACATATTTATAAATTATTTCTATGTAAAAAACAGCAACAAGTTTTAAATTTTAACAGCTATAAATGTACTTCACAAATTGTTATTTTGTTATCCTTTAGATGTATTCTCAATCGGATTGTTTAAATACGAAAAATAAAGGAGAGTAGAGAGTACATTTAAAGTAAATCTTATAAAAAATAATATAATAAATAAGAAAAAAAAACTAAATAAAACCGTGTTATTATTATGTCGGAAATATACATACATATATGAGGAGAAAACTAGTTCCCACTCACATGGGTCCATTTAATTTGGTCCCGTTGTGTTACCCTAGTGATCAGAGGAGTGTGTTCTGGTATCATTCTCTGCTTCCAGAACTAAATCAATCGGTTTCATTTAATATTCTTCAGACCTATCCCAGAATGCACATCCATGCCTGTCATAAAAAGGGAGTACCGAAGTGATGTTTCCTGATGTTATATTATTTTCTTCTTTATTATGACAACTTCTACAATAGTCGTTATATGCAAGACCTAGTAAGACACTTGTTCTAAGTCTTACAATTCGTAAGAGAAATACCAGTAAAGGCGTCGATTTCTTCCTCATCCAACATCGTGTTTGTTATCTATATAGTTACCCTGACATTTATCTTAACCTGGGACCCATATTAAGGTGAAAGTACACAACACGCGTTGTACGCGGCAGCGCGTTATAGGCTTCTGTCAAAAAAAAAAGTTGAAATCGTGTATTTTCATTTAACAAGTTACACACTGTAGTTTGTAACGCGTCTGCCGCGAAAAGTTCAGCAACTTTTGAAAAGCGTAAAACGCGTTGCCGCCTCAACGCGTGGTGTGTACTTCCACCTTTAACGTTATCCTAGAATGTCTGGCTATCTATCTATCTATCTATCTATCTATCTATCTATCTATCTATCTATCTATCTATCTATCTATCTATCTATCTATCTATCTATCTATCTATCTATCTATCTGTCTATCTATCTATCTATCTATCTATCTATCTATCTATCTATCTATCTATCTATCTATCTATCTATCTATCTATCTATCTATCTATCTATCTATCTATCTATCTATCTATCTATCTATCTATCTATATATCTATCTATCTATCTATCTATCTATCTATCTATCTATCTATCTATCTATCTATCTATCTATCTATCTATCTATCTATCTATCTATCTATCTATCTATCTATCTATCTATCTATCTATAATAAACTGCGAAGACACCCGCTAGATTTTTGATAGCAGCGTTGCTATCTGTATATATACATACATATTAGAGCCCTGCATGAGTGACTTAAATAATAAATTAAAACATTTGATTTTTTTCAAACACTGTGTTTGACTCACTCATTGTTTTATGAATGAAATGAATAGTATATTTATGTGTTGTTTCTAGATAACGAGCGAGTAGTTTGAGCACAAATTTTACTTGTATTTTGTTATTGTAACAAAAACAAAATACAAGTAAAATTTTAACTCAAACTACTCACACGTTATCTAGAAACAACACATTAAATTTTAAAAATAAGGAATGTTAGTCAATACTCAATTCAAACGAAACAAGTAATGAGAGTGTTTGTGTGATTCAATTCAAGTAGTATACAGTGAGTGAATCGAGTGAAAGCAAAACAATTTTTAAGTTCGACAAATTAACAGATTTTTCGAACTTAATTTCGAATATTCGAACATAATATTATCTTGTCATCAATTGTACTCAAGACTACCAAATTTCAGCGAATTCGGGCCACAGGAACTAGTTTTAACAGGATTCAAAATTTTCACCATTTATTCAAGAAAAAGTTTGAATCGATTCATTCGATTCAAACAATTTATTTTGTATTGTTTTAACATAAACAAATTGTTTACTCGCTCGATTTGAATGTAGTTGCACATTCACTTGATAGTACTCACAACGTTTGAGTATAACAAAACTTTGTAAATACTATTCTAAACAAACAATGAGTTGAGTGCAAAGCAATGAGTCACTCATTGTGTGTAGCAAATAGAGTTACTCATGCAGGGCTCTAATACATATATATGTATATATATCCACCTATATATCATTGTACCTTAGCGAAATCGCTGCTCGTTTAATAGCAGATATTTCTGCTGAATATACCAAATCCAATAAAGAAACCACCGTCCATTTTTCCACTCCTTTTGGAGCCATCGTTACACCTGAAGGTGGGTGTGTGGTTCTAATTCTGAATTCCTATGTGAAATCCAAACGCGAAAGCGATTATCGAAGTTGGGCTTCGTAATGCAATAGTCAACATTCAAATGCAGTGATTCGAAGTGTTTTATAATTCTAGAGTGCGCGTACCTCGTTTCTGTATTTTTCCCGAATCGAGAAAAAACTAAAAATATAATAGTCTTTTTACAGAGTGACTCTGATTATTTTTAAACTATACTCATTTAAATTTATTAAGAAATTTTGAAATTTCTTGTATTCACCCTGTTTTACACCATATGATCATAAATTTTTCGGCAAATTTTCTCAATGCAAGAATTACAGCATTCGTAATTCAGCTCTGGGTGGATAAATAACTTCGCCCATCATTACCATTATCGTTTAAGGGTAATCAGGCCGTTCTTCTTTCGCTGCCTTCGAGAGTTTTGCGTTTCACTCTCGCATTGGTTTAGTGCGTGGCGTCGCATAACCGTGTTACGGTTCTTCGAAGCACACGCATTTTATTTGATAACCTAAAATTTTCTTTGATACATGGTGGAGTACCAAACAAAACTCGTTTAAGATTTTCGTGGAGACCAGTAAACTCAGGAGCGGAGTTCCAGCTTCCTATACGAAGGTATAGGTCGGATTGGCAGTTCTTGGACGAGGCTCTTTTAGGCGAAAGCCGTAATTGGTGATGGCGTTATGAATATTTCGAGGCCAAATAATCCCTCCTTAGAGATATCATACTGTTAAGGGGGCAACTTAAAATCAAAACAAACAAACAAGAATTACAGAAACAGGGCACAGACCACGAACCGCAGGCATTGAATCATATCGCAGAATTCAGTGCAAGTTGAATGGTCATTAAGTCAGTTGGTAACCAGTTTAACATCGTTAGCAGTGCTTCAGTTGGTGTTGTCTTCATTGCTTCCGTAATAAGGATGGCAATGTTTCTTCTAGTGCGCTCAATGGTTTGCAGAGTGTGAAGTATGCTCCTTGCTTGCTTGCCACCATTCTAAGTATAACACCATAAAACAGTATAGACATGACGACTGCCTTGAAGTTTACAACTTTATACCACCTAGTAAATAGAACTAGTTCTGTTTTCAGTTGATTTACACTGAGTCCACAACAAACATTCCATTTACTTAATAATTTAAGATCAGTTTCCATACATCGAGATATTGTATCAAGGAATTTACTCGATATTAACACCGCTACGTCGTCGGCATAAGCGACAGTCGTAACCCTCCAGCTATTCATTTCAGATAATAGTGTATTCATAGCCACGTTCCACAGTAGAGGAGACAAAATTCAGAGCTGACAAGCGTTAGTGTGTGCTGAGCACAAAAAATCTCAAAAGGAGTATAGGTTTAGAGAAGTTCTGATGGTTATTGTTTTTTACAAGTATAAAAACTTTAGGAACGTTTTATTTTGTAAATGATTTGGTATCTCGTGAACTATGGGATTCATATATATCTTAACAAAATTACTCATAGCCAGATCAGAAGTGGTTTCAAGTTGATGTAAAATTGTTTGGCTTTATAGATGCAATGGGGCCTGTTGCTCCATCCCGAACTTAGTTGTACTAGAAATACTCTTCTTTCCGCGGCAGGTTTTCTTCCATGTCTGCTATGGGCGGTAGGCGACATTCATGCGGTATCCTGCGACCGCGGAATTTATGAAGTGTCGTTCAAAGCTGCCGTATACCAGGACTGATCCAATGGATACTGCACATATGTGCATATGTTTGGGATGACTCCTCCGATGACATCCCAGGAGGAACTGTTTAGTTAACATGACATTGTGTTCCTTGACTGGGAGGACCATCGTTTCCTCGTGCATGTGATGTTCCGAGATAATTTGTAAGCAGACCGTTACAGTCCTTAGGGCGGCATTTTCGCAGCTTTGAATGTTTCTCCACTGGGTATCACTGAGCGAATGTGACCACAATGGAGCAGCATAATTAATCACTGACCTGTTAACTTGTTAATATGTCAACTGTGTTTAATTCAATAACTTTATAAATTTTGTTATTATTTTAATCTAGTGTTCATTAATTTTGTATATCAAATTTGTTGAAAGAAAATTTTCGTCACTTCTAAATAAAATTTAGTTAAAGACAGAAGTCTTAAATCGTTTATTATTCAAGAGGTTATGGGCCTCAACTATTTCACGAAATTAAATAAAATTTAAACGCGAATTAAACGAATTATAAATCAGTAAAAATGGATATCAAGACAATGTTTCCAAAACTTAATAATAATAATTACCACACATGGAAATTTAATGTGGAAATGCTATTGTTGGAATGTGAGTTATGGGATGTTATAACGTCTGATATTCCGGAGCAGCCGGATGATAAATGGCTGGTACGAGATGGAAAAGCTAGAGCTGTAATTGGATTGTCTTTGGAAGAAAACCAAAAAGTACAAATAAAGAAACTGAAATTTGCTAAAGAATACTGGGAAGTGCTGAAGAAAAATCATGAAAAGGCGAATCTAACAAACAGAGTAAGTCTATTGCGAAAATTAACATCGAAAAAACTTCAAGATGGAGAGTCAGTGGAAGACCATATTGCCGAATTCTTGGATATTGCTGATCGTTTGCAAGATATGGGTGAAGAATTTCCGGAACATAAAATTGTTGCATTCTTATTAGGAAGCCTACCTGAATATTACAATGGTATTGTATCTGCACTTGAAGTACGTCCCGAAACAGATCTCACATTGGATATGGTAAAAGAAAAATTAATTCAAGAAAGCAAAAGAAATTCTATTGACAAACCGCAAGAAGTTGTTTTAAAAACTGAATACAAGAAAAATACTAATTCAAAATGTTTTATATGTGGCAAACCAGGACATAAAAAGAAGAATTGTTATTTAAATAAGAAAAATAAAAATAATCCTGTAAAATATGTTAAATGTGAACTAAATAATAATGTTTGCTTTGGTGTTTCTACAGATAATTCAAAGCATGGTTGGTTTGTTGATTCGGCAGCAACATGTCACATGTGT